ATTTAAGAGCGGCATATTCGAAGCTGTCGCTGAATGTTGCGGATTTAAGTGGTTTACGCTGCCGTCTGGAGGTCAGAAAAGATCTTGTTGGTGCACACGAGAGACGCAACTGCCAGTCAAAGAGAAGAAAACAGCGTTCAAGAAATTGCTACTAACAGCCTTCTAATCGTGTGCGATATGTCGAGGCATGCAAGGCGACTGCGAAAGCAATGGCGAACGCCGATTCCTGGGAGAAGTTCGGTGAGGTGTTGGAGTCGAATTTCCCAACGCAAACAAGGTAGTTCTGGCAGACCATCCGCGGCTCAGAGGAGGAAAAAAAGGGCAGACTAAGAGTCTTAGGTCTGGACACCCTCTTGCCAATGACGATGACATTCTTCAGCGACGGAGAGAGTGCTTTGAGGAACTCCTTAACTGCGAACAACCGCAGGAAGACTCATCTGTAGAGCAGCAGGGAACGGATTTGACTATCTCTGTAGATGAAATTACACAAGCTGTGAAAAGCTTGAAAAATTGAAAGGCAGCTGTAATTGACGAAATCTGCCCTGAAATGTCAAGGCATTGGGCGACGAAAGCATGTGCTGGCATATACGTGCCTATCAAACTGCGATGACTACGTGGAAGACACCAGCAAACTGGATAACGACAGTGGTTGTACCCCTATTCAGGAAGGGAGATCGCAATTATAGGGGTATAACGTTATTGAGTCTCCCAAGTAAAGTCTATGCAAAGGTACTAGAAAGAAGGTGCCGAGGAATAATTGAATCGAACATACAGAAAAGCAGTGTGGCTTCCGGCCTGGTCAGAGCACCTTTAACTATATATTCGCCCTGCGCCAGATCGTTGGAAAATCGTGGGAATACAGCCGTCCGGTGTACATGTGTTTTGTTGGCCTAGAAAAGCTTATGACCATATGATCCCACGCATCAGTTTGTGGTCATGCCTGTGAGCATACGGGACAAATGGCCAGCTGCCAAGGGCCATCCGATCACTGTATTTTGATGACAGGTGCTGCATCAGAGCTAATGGCGTTAAGACGAAACCATTCAACGTTTGCACTGGTCTCCGCCAAGGCCGCGTCTTATTCCCTCAGCTGTTTGTGTTGTACATGGATAGAATAGTCAGGAGCAGCCAAGTCGATGAGGGTATCGGTGGTGGAGATATGAAGTCGAAAAGGTTGACGTTTGCAGATGACCTTGCTTCATTGTCATTTTCTGAAACTGATCTACAGTGCTCCCTAGAAAGATTCGCAGCTGATTGCGACGTGACCGACATGCGTGTGAACGCATCTAAAACGAAATGCCTAGTGCTTTCTCGTTCTCCTTCCCGTTGTTCAGATTAAATGAATGGCAGTGGAGCAGGAAAAAAGTTCAAGTACCTCGGAATCATATTTACAAGTGATGGAGAATTTGAGGAAGAATCGACCGGCGAATCGGAGTAGCCAGTAGCGTTCCGCATGAACCAGCCCGATCCACTGTGACTGAAGCAGAACTCAGTCTAAAAACTAAGCTCAGGTGTTCAAGTCGATGTTTATTCCCATGCTTACCTACGGTCACCAGTCATTGAAATACTTTGAACCCGGATACAAGCTCATAAAATGGGCTTTTTTAGACGAGTCGCTGGCTTTACGCGTCTCGATTTGGTCCGGAATATTGACATCCGTGAGAGCCTTGGTCTACAGCCTTTGCTTCTTCAGATTGAGAAGTCATAGCTGCGATGTTTTGGATGTGTTGCATATGCCAGAAAGGAATGCTAAGCAACTGTTTCTTGCCTAACCGATTGGCAGATTGCTTAAGTGACGGCCAAAATTGACCTGGTGCAAATATATGGAGGTTGTCTGTTCCAGATTCCAGTTGTCTTCTGCGAAGCTTATTCTCTGGCACAGGATCAGGGACGTTGGCAACGCTGTCTGAAGCGCCTGCCTCCGCGTCCCGAGTGGAGAAGCGGCCATAAAATATGAATGAAAGCAATGAAAATACTTACTAATTACTAGACAAGGAAGCTGTGATGCGATCAGAACGAATGAAAAATTGACTAATAGAAGAGATATATGTAGGATATTTATATTAACACTTCAGCTTATTCGTCTGTGATTTGGAAAACTGCAATAGCTTTATAAGTAGCGACAGAATCAAGCAGAAACTTAGCTACACATGAAGAATTGCTTAAACATGGTAATGAACAAAACTGGATGTAGAAAATGTTAAATTTACAAGGTGTGTGGAGTAAGCAATATTTGACATCTCGAAAGGAATGGTGGTACTTCATTTTAAAAGGTGATTCTATGAAAGGCAATGCATTGAACTTATACTTGTACCTCATAGGTAGTCTACATCGGAATCAAGCATTGTCTTAGAGATAAAGCTTACAAAAATAGTTTATCTAAAAATTTTCTTCCATTTAATTATTCAGATAGTTCCCATGCAGGAAGTGCGCCAAAGTGTTAATTCCGGATCAAGAACTACAAGATGTTGCACCTGAAGCTGGCGAACAGCTTTTAGGTAGGATCCAGACCATTGTTGTAGTCACTGAATTTTTTTGGATGACGTGCTCTGTTTCGGTTTCGGAATCATTGCTGTTTCTGACGCATGTTGAGCGTTTTAATCCTAGAGGCAAGGTTGAAATGGTTGTTGAGGAATTCGCATATAGAGACGAGGATGAGTTCAAGAAATATGAATTCATTGACAGCCTATTTATGTAACAGCGGATGCAGCTTGAATAGTGCTGCACATTTGTTTTTGTCTGTCAATCAAGCATTTTGTCTGTTCTATAGTGATTATCTCCAGCACTTTTTTCCTGTCCCTTAGCATCTTTGAGGATGATGCTGCGTGCATGCCACCATATGGCATAGTCCTTCAGTATGCTTTATTCTGAAACGATAGATCCCTTCTGATTTGCTCCGATGAGACAAGCCATGTGCTCACCAATTCAGTTTTTAAACTTCCCACCGGTTTCTCATATGCAACTGTCTTCGATTGAAGAGTTAAAAAATAACCAGGCCAATGATACGGCGTGAAAAAGCCTCTTACATGCCCAGCGTTTTTTTTATGATTACAGAATGATGAAGAC